GGTTTTAAGCTGAAAGAAGAGAGATTTAGGTTAGAGATCAGGCGTAAATTCTTTAGTGTGTGGGTGGTGAGACACTGGAACAGGCTGCCCAGAGATGTTGTGGAAGTTCCATCCCTGGAAGTGTTCAAGGGCAGGTTGGATGGGCCTCTCAGCAACCTGATATAGTGGGAGGTGTCCCTGCCCATGCGGGGGAATTGGAACTTTATGATCTTTAAGGTCCCTGCCAATTCTAACCTTTCTATGGTTCTATGATTCTGTGATTCTATGATTCTATGTTTGTCACACTGGTTCTTGTCAGAGAGTGCTGCCTGATAACTCAGACTTCTTTCCTTTTTGTGTGAAAGACATGATTCCAAGTCACACTCCAGCGAAGTAGTTTATTAATAGAAAGGTATTCCCTAATAATTGTGGTCTTAAAAACATGTTTTTCATTATAAATAGTTTGTTTTGCTCCATTTTAAGGTAAAATAATATTTCTTCACATTAACTTAATCTCGACTTTTGGTAGGTTTTGCTTGCCATCTGGCCACTTGTTTCCCTCCTGTCAGAAGGCATACTGTTTTTTCGTATTGTCACAACAAAGAGAATTCTGTTTTGTTTTTTTCTTGCAGAAGTTTTCTTAAAAGCTACAGAAGTCAAAAACATGATTATTGTGCTTAGCTTAGCGTGGAAAAAATGGTGAAAATTCTTATTTTTTAAAATCGCAAAGAAGTCTTTAAAAAATAATGCTTTGTTATTCAGAGGAAAAGCTAAAATTAAATTTCCATTGACAAAGTTTTTGACAGTTCAAAAGATTGCAGCAGGATATGGTCTGCTTCTGGTTTTAATAATTTTTTTAATTTTAAAGTTTTCCTTGGGATTTTCATGATGATAGCTGAAATTTTATGTGAGGTTGCTGAGTTATTTGCATAGCATATGTATGGAAGTTGGTGTTGACACTGAAGAGGCTGCAGAATTGCCCTGTCCCAGAGACTTCTGCAGGCCTTGCAGCATAGTTCATCTTTTTAAGAATATTTTTTTGTATATTTGTATTTTGTGTGTTTGCACATACAGACCCAATTTGTGTTTTCTGTTTGAAAAATATAAATAGTAGGTTAAAAAATAGGCGGATGTATTAATGGTTCAAATTAGGTTTATGATTGACAGCCACTTATAAACTTCATTTTGCAAAAATACTGTAGTTTAGCTTGTTAATGAATGTGACGTTACTTTGACACAGCTGTAGAGACCAGTGTATAAGAGTTGTAAAGCTAAAGGACTTAGATTTGTGAAGATGCTCAGCTTTTCTCAGTATGCCATGTTTATTTTGACTGTGTTTCGTGACTGTTGAGGCTTCAAATGCATTTAAGAATTACAGAACTGTATAATTCAAAATATTTTGTAAATCCTAGAAAATGTTTTAGAAACTAGGAAATAGCGTTTAAATGTTGAAAAGTAAACTTTACTGTGTGGCAAAATATTCAATGGAACACTCTCTCAAAGCAGATCAGAAAAGGGGAACTAGGGAGGAAAAACAAGGAGAGTGGGAAGTTTCTGCTTTTTCTGGAAAAAGGGGAAATGTGCACACCTCACTGAGGATTCTTGTGGAACAAACATTTTATCTTGAGGTTTGACTAGTGTTAATTTGAAAGGCGAAACTTGGAAGTTCTGTATAGCATCATAAATTAAACCAGTTTTAAACTTTTGCAGTTATATTATACAAAAATGGATGTGCAAATATTTAGAGGCTTCATTTTATCAGCAGTATGTCTTGGATTTATTCTATGAAATCAAATGTCCAGTCAGGAAGCCATCGAGTAAGACAGGTTCATTTAAATTAAGGTAATGAAGTTGTGATTATTATTAACTAATCTGTAGTCGATATTTTTAGTATGCTTTTTTTTCATCACAAAAGGAATTTCCCTTTGTAGAGAATAGCCATTCAGGCTACTTAATACAAACAAGAAATACTTGTATTTCCACATACTTTTTACAGCTTTTTTTTTTTTACAGAAACAAGTTTATACCCTTTATTTCACTATGAATGACTTATATTACTAATTAGTGAAGTGCAGTGATGTTCTGAGCATCCATTGTACTCTTTGTCCTCTATGATGTTCAATAACACAAAGTTATAACAGGATGCACATGTAGATATTTGTGATCATAGAGATGTATTCTTTCATAACATTTGAATTATTTGTTTTGTTATGTTAGCCCAAAATATCAGAATGTTAGTGTTAGGCACCATCCTTTTTTCACATAACTTTCTCTAAGTGTTTCATCTGGGTGATTGTAAAAAAAAAAAAAAAAAGTCTTTCACAGGTATATTTTAACACATACTTAAAACACCTTCAATGAACCAGCTACAGAATAGTGTCTGCATAATGTGTAAAAGAATCAACAGTTTGTGTTGTTTTGGTATAATTCAGTTTGCATTTTAATAGAAGAAAAGCTCACCCAAACTAAAGTACTCTTATAGACCTCTTGGAATTCAGTGATTTTCAATGAGTAAATACACAGAGCTGGTCTCAAGGTTTGTCTTCACTGCGTTGTTGGTTTGAGTTTGCCTTTGATTCAGTTTATTTTGTGTTCGAAACTGCAGCATAGGTGAAAAATCCTTTCAGCTGTTTGGTATGGTGATGTGGGTTGAAGATCAGGTATTCCTTGTCTGCATTAATAATCCAGTACCAAGTTGCTTCTTTGCTTCAAATAATTCAACTGTGAAAACAAGCTTAACTACTTTAAATATGTCTTGAAATTAGTGCTGGTAGTTGCTTAGTATTTTTTCCCTGTTTTTGTTTGTTTTTAAATTAGGGAGTTTTGGTTTGTGTTTTGGGTTTGGTTGATTGTTTTGGGTTTTTTCATCACGTTCTCAGAACTGTAGGATAGGAGACTGTACTAACATGTCCCATTGTGCTTAATTCCCTTGCTTTTGTCTGCCACTGTATGTCATCCTTGGGTGGACTATGACAGATCCAAGTTCAGTTTAAAACTTGAATGTTTTTGTTTAGTATGGTAAGATTCTTGTTTTCTTGATATGTCTTGTCTTAATAAGTTTACTTTGAACACCATAATGTAAGATTTTTATATATAATGCTTCTGTAGCAGAGGCTTTTACTAATAACTTACAGGTTTAAGGGGGGGACAACTAATACCTAATCAACTGCCCTAGTCATATGTTACTGAAAACCAGATTAAAATTTTGTAACTGCTTTTTCTCCTCTTCAGACTTTATAGCACATGTTGTCCCTTTGTAAGTTCTTCTTATGAAGCTCCTGGCCAAATGACAAGGCCCCTTTACATTCCTTGAAAATCAACTCCTTATCCTGAGGTGCTTGTAACTAGATAAGCCCACCTCTTTTTTAATATGTTTGCCTGAAACATCAAAATATGTCTGGGTGCCCTGGCTGTTGCATCCTTGCAAGATGTCAAATTTGGATTCTTCAGCAGTTTATTCTGGTTTAGATTTTTCAGCTACTTGTCTGGAAGGGAGTGTTTTGGAGTTATCTGTGACATATTAAGAGCTATTTCATCATTTCTGCATGAAAGCAAAGTCCTCTTTCTCTTAACTGAGATTTCTTATCTCATTTACTTATTGATACTCCAATAATTCTTTATTTTTTTTAGAGTTCATCTACAAATTAGTCTCAAAAGTTGCAATGAAGGTTGTCAGAAAACAAACATTTTTAGAAATTTTGTAGCATTATATTTTTACATAGTGTACTTAGATCTTTTAATTTTTCTTCTTTTCTAAAAGTTGACTTCTTCTTACCTTGACCATCACTCCAAAGGAAAAAAAACCTGAAATGCAGCTTTTGAGTAAAAGAGTTTTCTGGCCACTTAGTTTTGAGATTTTTTCTGAAATGTGGTATATCCATGTTGACATTCTCTGCTCAATTTGAGGTGGATTTAAAATCCAGGTCTTCAAAATTATGGGCAAGCATCCTAGGTGAGATCTTGGATGTATAGGTGTCTTTCCACTCTTCATCCAACCTGTTTGGTGCTATAAGAGGCATTGGTCTTGACTGCCTTTTGAGTCCCTGGTGGATTTAATTTGGATGAGAGAAGGGGAAGCTAAAGTTGAAATACAGTGGTCCAGGCTTTTTAAAGGAAGGATGTTTGAAGAGACTGATGATACACCTGTAGTAAATGGAGATCCCCATAGTACTTGAAGATAAACTTTTCTGTTAACTGGAAGTCAAATTTAAAATTATTTAAATAGCTCACATTAATTAGAACAAATTGCTATACCATGTAATTGGCTTTAAGTACTAAGCAGTTCTGTAGTTAGTGTGTTGATATTTGCTAAAATGAGATTAGTAAAATAGAGGATATTGGTCTTGATGCTTCAGGAGAAGCCAGCAAGCTTGAAATCAATTATGGCAGATACATTTTTGGAAGTTTTTCCACTCTTCTGTGGGATGTAATGGCTTTGTTTTACATTTGTAACACAGCTGCTTATCCTATCTAGGAATCCTAAGCACTGTAGCTGGATTGTGTATGATAGACTTTGGTCTTTATTTTGTAGCTTATTTATAGTCTGATCTCTGAATAAATGAAGCATGGCTTATACCATTCTCTCAAATTGGACACATTAGCCTATATGTAAAGTCCATGGACTATAAGGGTTTTGTTCATAGCATATTCAAAAAAAATGCAATACTGAGTAAAAAAATAGAATATGAGTATATGCACAGTAAAAGGAAAAAAATCACTAATTTTTGGCCCACACTTCTCCTAAAAATTAGGGAGAAAAAAATTCCTATTCATAATGCTGGCAGCTTTCAGTCCAGTATCTTGAAATGGCAAATTTTTTGTATGTTCCTAGTAAATATTAGATTAAGTAGTGTAAATTACATTAGATATTAAATATCTTTAATTTTTGTTATATTATCATTTTTTCTTATAACAATAGTTAAGGATTTGATCTTCTGAACTTAATATGAATATTGTACTAATGAGAAGTTGTTAGGTTATGCTATGGGGGAAGTGAAAACTGCTGTCTGTCTTCTGTTCAGAGTCTGCATCTGTGGACAAGTCTGTATCCCATTCTTGCACAACTCCTTCTACGTCTTCTGCATCTGGACTGAATCCAGCTTCTGCACCTGCTTCATCTGCTCCTACAGTTCCTGTCTCACCTGTCCCACAATCACCAATTCCTCCGCTACTTCAGGACCCAAATCTTCTTCGACAGCTGCTGCCTGCTCTGCAAGCCACCTTGCAACTTAATAATTCTAGCGTAGATATATCCAAAATCAATGAAGGTAAGAATTCTTTAAGTTGTTGCAATCTTTAATTTGCACACATAAGCATATTATTCATTACTAAGCTGCAGTAAATGTAAGCCTTACACTAAGAGCAAATTCAATAAATGAATCCTTAGATAAAGTGGAGATTGTTTTTGTGTGTGGTTCTTTGGATTTTTTTCTGTTAAACTTTTTTAAGTTAGCCAAGTAACATTTAAGGTTGTTAAGCTAATATATGCTGATACGTGTGAACAGTCTAGTTGAGACTGGTGATGTAATTGCTGTATCAGCATTCATCTGTTGCACAAAATTAAGTCAGAGCTTTTTGTTCTTTTGTTTTGTGCAATGTTCTTTGTTTTCTGTGGTTTGTGCTGCCATTCTAATAATGTGTTTGCAAATACTGAAACTTCTAGGGATTCTTAAATCTTGTTGCCTATCAACTTTTTTTCTTCAACAGAACATGCTAGCCTCTCTGAATAAAGAAAGCATCTGTAATTTTGCTAGCAGGTTAAATTTTATGCATGTAATTGGGGTATCCCTTAGATTTTTGCCATATTGGCCTAGTTTATTTGAAGAAACTTTAGAACTAGCTATAGTGCCTTTCATTGCAAGAACAGGTAGAGTTGATACATTTTGAATTTAATTTTATCTGCTGTAGTGTCTCCGTTGTGGCAGGTTACTGATGAAGACTATGGCACAGGATTTTTTATTTGTTTCTTTTAACTTTGTGTGCACTGATCACCAATTTAAATTGGAAGCAAAGAATTTACATGTAGTGCCTAAAGTTAATTATCTCAACTTCTCTAGAAGTGCAAACTATGAAAGGCAAAACACTAAAATTTTACTTAAAAGTCTCCTGTTAGGTATGTTACAATGGTTTATAAGGGAGCGTGGGTATCAATTGCCTTCTTTTTAGTCAGCCAGTATTGCAGCTTAATTCAGTAGTAATAGGTGAGTTATCGTGTTTTCCTGTGCAGGGAGAAACTTTTAAAACTAACGCACTAGGTTGGGTGAAAAAAAGTAGGAGTATTGTGGTTGCTTTTATTGAGAAATAAAAGGTCTAATCGACTCTAGTTGTATTTTATTAGAAAGCTGCCAATTTAAGTTCCCAGTCATTTTATCTCACCATATCTGAGCAGCAGCTGTGTCTGTCTTGGAACAAGGGTGTTGAGTATTGTGATGGCATAAGGGCCTGGCTGGCAGGTCTCTGTGGGCAGAGTGACTTCAGCTTGCACAGCAGGACTGCCTTTACTGGGCACATGATGCAGAGTTAATTCTGTGTTTGTGCTGGTGAGTCAGTTTTTTCAGACTTTTGCATGGGTGGTGTATGTTCAGGAAGTATCCCGCAGAGCCTGTAGACCTTTCTGAAAATATTAGTTCAGAGGCTGGATCTCATCATCTCATACTGTACGATGCTCTTCCTATGTAGTGCAGTTTTTAAATGGTTGAAAATAATTTATTTTTTTCTTAACTGGAGGAGTGATGGATGAGAGAGCTAAGCCCCTTCTTTTAAGGAAGAAACATGGTGTGTCTGGATTTTTAACTTGAAAGTGCTTTTCTTTTTCCTTGAACAGAAAATCACCCCACCCTGTCTCTTCTAGTGAGTTGAAGTGATACTCCTTTTTTGCTTCTTTTTAATTGTAGTTTAAGGAAAAAAAAAATCCACAACACATTCTACTCACTACAATAACAAATTGAACAAATATTGGTTTTATGTTTGCAAGAATTAATATTGATCCATAAGATTAAGCTGAAGAATTGAAGTGATTTTCTAAAAGATTTTCTAGTGTACTGTCTGAAAGAGAAAATTTCTAAATGAAGGACTTAATTTGACATTGCAAGTGATAACAATTTGAGTTTAAGTCATTGAAAAATAGTTTAGGTCTTTTGTCTATTGTAGAGAAAGGAACAAAATCAGAAAGGAAGTGTGCCTCTAATATATTTAGCCAGTTTGAACAGTTTTAAGATGTTTTAGAATTACCAGTAAAATGTAATGTTTCTTTTTAGTTCTAACAGCAGCTGTGACACAAGCCTCTCTGCAGTCTATACTCCATAAAATTCTTACTGCTGGACCATCTGCTTTCAATATCACTTCCCTAATTTCTCAAGCTGCACAATTGTCTACACAAGGTATTCAGAGCCTTCTTTTCACTTACGTAAAATTGTTACATTACATTTTGTAAAAGCTGATACAATTGAAACTTGAAGAATCTGTCTCTTGTTGTATCTTTGGCCATCTAGTGTAGATGTGGAATGTCTTCTTTTTCCAAAGATAGGGTAAGAAATTGTTACACTGGGAGCAGGGAGCTGACGTGCAATTAAGTAAATGTGCTTCTCTGTCTCACCATTTGGGATTTTCTATGTGTGTTAGCTAACTCTGTGTGAGTAATGTGAAATATGTGTGAGATTCCCTCAATTTATTCTGAACCTTAATTAGATGATTAAATGTTCAATATAAAACACAACTCTTCCTTGGTTGAACACCCTTCTTGTAATACCATGCAGCTGTGATTCTTGGGGAGGCCTTAGAATAAATGCTTTGTAAGAATTTATCTGGTAGGGTTAAATTTAAGGTCCCTTCCAAATAAAAAAACTGATTCTGTAAATGCAGTCATGTTACTTAGTAGGTAAGTAGCATTATGCTAATGCTAGTTTTTAACCAGAAATTAAAACGTGGAAGGGGGGCTGCTGGTAGGTGCCTAGAATGGGTGAATGGGTTTCTAGATAACCTGTTTATGCATTCTTTCAGTTAAATAGGAATCACAGTGAAATAAATTTAGTCTCTTCATGTGTAAAAAGCACTACATAATAGCTTCTTCTCTTTCCCCCTTCTCTAAGTTTTTACAAGTGGAGGGTTTAGGGAAAACACAGTTCTTCAGTTAGGATTGTTCCAGTTGCTCAGCTCCCCAGCTGTCTGAAGTTGAGAATGTTTGTATACTGTCTAATACAGCATACTGCAAAGTGCCAAAAGAAAACCTCATTCACATTTAAGATAGGATATGGTTTTATTAAATAAAGTATTTTTTTTAATTTGCAGCTCAGCCGTCTAATCAGTCTCCAATGTCTTTAACATCTGATGCCTCATCACCACGATCATATGTATCTCCAAGAATAAGCACGCCTCAGACTAACACCGTTCCGCTTAAACCTTTGATGACTACACCACCAGTGTCATCGCAGCAGAAGGTAAAGCTGCTTCAGATTTATACCATGTTGTTGTAAGAAACCATTATATATATTAAGTAGTGTTGCTGCTGTATGCCCATGTGCTAACAGCGATATATAGGATGATAGAACATGTGCTGTATTTCCCAATAGAAGCAAAAGCAACTGGAATCATCTGCCTGGCTATATTTTTGCAGTACAACTCTAGCATAGAATTCTAGTACACTTTTCTGTTCTTGAGGAAAGTCTTGTGCTTCCTTCAGAAGCTGTCTGAATATAATACTAAGAGATTAGTATTTTAACATATTTGAATGGAAACAAAAACTTACTCCAAAGGCAACAGCTGATGTAGTTCTTCAGACTTCAGGCAATAAAAAGTTGTTAGAATGGGACAGAAGTTCTTGGGCAAGTTAACCCAATGTAGTGTCAAATTTGGTTTAGAAATGTTCTTGGTATTTACAAGGTCAAAAATATGATGTCCCTTTTCGTCCACAGCCCCTCACCCCCATTCATTCAGAATTCCTTAGTTCCTTAATCAAGGAAACATTGTTACTAATACATAGCTTGTAAGGTTCTTCCTAATGATGAAATAGAAAACATCAAAAGTAGGAAACATGGCTTGTTTTGTTGTGTGTTTTTTTAACTTTTTTTTTAATGTGTTTGTGATCCCTCTATTAGGTCACTCTTCAAAGGAGAAATGTGTTTTTCAGAATCCAAGATCAGTATTCCATATCCTGGAGGCAGGGTTATTGAGGAATAAACACGGTTGACATTGAGATTATGTATTTATTTCTAGAATTTCTGTGTCCAGCAGATTAGAGACTCTGTTTTGCTGTGTACAGAGGGGAAAGGAGATGTAATTAGAGACACTTAAGATGAACCTCACGTTTTACTAAGAGTGTTTATTTTCCTTGTTTAAAGAATAGTGATGCACAGATGAGGGATGGGAAGAGACACTGGGTTAAAGGACCTATTGTGAAGGAGGATTTTGTTACTAAAGAGGACTGAAGGCACAGCTGTTGACTTGCACCCTCTGGTGGAAAGCAGCCTTTTACGTTAAAGCTAGTTTTGTAGTGATAGGTAGAGCTGCTGGGCATAACATTCTTGGGCCTTTCATACAAGTTGAAAAAAACAAAACAAATTTAGCAGTTAGCAGTGTTGTTTTGGCTGTGGAAAACTGAAGCCCATTGAGTAGGATTTGGGGCTCTCCCAGAGGTTGAATGTTGTCATGCAAAGGGAACTTCTCCTGTCTCTTCATTGTACAGATCTTAGTTTTAACCTTGAGACCCTCAGATTTTAACCCAGTCTTATCAGTGTGTTGCTCAGTGTTTTTAGTATCTTATCAGTGTAAGAAGTGTGATTCTACACTTTGGGGTGATACCAGTCTTGTTTGATATCCTCCCCTAAAATCCCTGTATCTCTCCCCCCAGCTTAGATGAAATAACTTTCTTTCAAATTTATGTTTGGAAGAAAACTTCTTACGTCTTGAACACCTTTAAGGAATAATTTATAATCAGGAGGACAGATGACATTCCTCATTCTAGTCTAAATACCTCATTTTCTTATGTTTTTCATGGGTACAAACATAGGTGATTCTGCTGGTCTGTTGTGATTGACAGTGGTACAATGAATTGTATAAACCTCGTATGTACTAATCCTGCTTGTTTTTGTTTCTGCCCTTGGAGTGCGTCCTGAATCTGTGCAGCCGCATCCCATAGCTAGGGGACAAGTAATGAAATTATCAAAAAGTAGACTTGAAACAAGGAAAGGAGGTGTCTCGCACTTTCATTCACTATGTTAGAAACCTGGCAAAAGCTTAATCCTTTGGGATCTTCTTTATCTACAGTGCTTTCTGAAAGAAAACTTGAAAGAAGGACAGCTCAGCAGAATATTTTTTCCCTGAGACATTTATCCTTGTTTTAGAAAATTTGCTGCTTTAGCATTTATCATTCTGCTGCAGATGTTTTCCTAGAACAGTGCAGACAAACTTGAACCCACTGCCTTTCACCTGGTGTAAAAAGGCTAGCATTATACCTGTAAAATAGGTGGTGTGGTAGTAAACTATGCCTTAAGAGAATATGAAGGCAAGCCACATGTTCAAAGTAGGGCATATCTGTCTTTGTAGACCAACTGTATAACTGAATATTCCTTTGGACACACAAGCCTTCCTTCGGGTTTTCAGTAGAAGCAACAAATTTCAAGGCTAAATGAAGGTTTGAGAAAAGTTGATGAGTTCCTTATAAGTCATAATTACAGCAAGGCTGCCACTCCCCCCAAAAAAACCAACAAAAATGTGTCGTTAATTTATTCTTTGTCTGATATGAGAATCTACAGTGACACACAGGGCTTTGTGATTGCCTGTGGTTAGTGACTTGACATGCAGGATTTTACCTCTGGTGTTTTCAAATTAGGTTATTGTGTGTTTTATTGATACATGCATAGAGTTGTAACCCTTACTACACTGGGTTATCATAAGCATAAAACCTTTTTATTTTCCAGATACCTTGAGTAGCTTCACAGATCAGCTAAATAAAATTAGTAGCAATGTTTGAGAACAGGAGCTTGTCTTAGTTTTTTCTGTTCCTCAAATCTTCTGCCAACTAACAGAGCTGTTGAAATATTAATATGAATTGCATGTGTGTTAGTCCCAGAAGTAAGAAATTCTAGTTCAGCAGCAGATACTTTTTCAGTTTAGTAAGGAAGGAGCTTTCCTGAGACGTTCTTGTATTAATATAATTCAATTCCCTAAGATAGAATTGAGGTGAGAACTTAGGTTGTAATAGCTCCAGTGTAAGCACATGTGTTTTAGTACTCCTTTGGTAATGTCAATCATGTTAGCATATCCAGTTCTAAGAGTTTGAAGGGAATTATGCATAATCAAGATGTGGTGCTGTACCAGGATACATGATTTCAGGGCACAAACTCTTCAGCTTAGGATGCTTCTCTGCAGCAAGCATAGCCGAAGCTGAACTGGCACCATGCAAGCGGAGTCCAGTGCCACTGTCACAGATATTTGGACTGGTTCTGGGAACAATGTAGTACCATTTGCACAGTAGGGCCTGTTACTTAGGACTGCATGAATACGTCTGGACTGTGTTTAAACTGAAGCTGGTCTGTTTGCCTGGAAGTGTGGTATTATGCACCTGGCAGCTCAGGTGCCACAGACTTGGATCCTAGGCATCACATTTTGTTTGCTAGTTAGCTGTGCCTGTGTTGTATGTTTAGAAACTATTCTACATTTCTGCAAAATAACTGTCTAAAGCCTGTGTTAGACAGACACGTCAAACTCAGTGAAGAATGTTGCTTATGGAATATTTTTTTTAGCCCTTGTTTTTTTTCTGTTCTTGGTACTTATTCTTGTTTGAACGGCATCAGTGGTATGTCTGCTCACAGGGTAAACAAAATTCAGGCATTGATAGCAAAGCCTGTTGTGTTATACATTTTATAAAGATATTTGGGTAGTCTTTCAAAAATCAATTTATGAATTGTTACTGTTTTCCTCTGACAACTGTGTAATTTTGTTGATTTCAACACACTGAGTGATCTTGCATTATCTTTCCAGGAGCGTGACTTTTTCATGTTCTATTCAGATATATTTTTTTTGGCTTTTGGTGATAACTTTAAAAGGTGCCTTTTCCTCTTAGGAGTATAAGTACGTTTGAAGTTGCATTACTATTTCCTGTATATTTGAATAAATGAATTTTTGTCTTGAGTTTACTTTAGCAGGTAATGTCTGACTTGGCATTTGTGATTTGTTTCACAGGAGTCACTTTCTGAAACTGAGAGAATTTCTGGGAGGTTCAGATGACCACTAGTTAGTAATCTGCACCAACTTGATGTCAACAAATGCCAGACAGGCTGCCTGATTTACCTTTTTTGCCATTATGGATCCCTAGAATCCATTTTTCTTCCCTCCTTCTTTCTTAAAATTGTTAGCTTGATTTTCCAGAGTTCAGGATAAATTTTGGAGCATGTTCCTCAGTACTTTAAAAGGAACAGGGGTATGCAGAGTATGGGGCAAAAAAATGTTTCTTGAACTGCATTTACTGTAACTTAGACACTAGTGTGTTACGAGTCTTTTCATCTTACAGTTCAGGAATTCACAGAAAAAAAACAGTATCTCAGTTCTTGTGTCTTAATGTCTTAAATGTGAATGTGTACTACAAATGAAAAGCAGGAAGATACTGGTGACTTTTTTTTGAGTCATTCATTTTACAATTGACAGAACAATTAAGAAGGGGAAGTAACATACCTGTAGATGTGCTTTACAATTTTTTTCCCTTTCTGATAGAGATGTTATGTTACCATTATAATTCTGCTCTTGCTATCTATCAATGGTGGAACTAAAGGTGATTTTTAAAAAAACAAAACAAACACATTTTAAAGAGTATAAAAATTCTGTCAACAAAAGACATATCAAAAAACCTCTCTGGTCTTGTAATTTGTGTGCTTTTTCTCTGGTTATTACACTTAGTATTTAGTGTGGAGGAATTCTAATGAAGTTTTGATCTTTCCAGGTTGCTACCCCTGGTGTTAAACAAGGACCAGCTTCACAGGCAGCACCTCAGCAGCCGGTAATAGCTGACAAGCAGGCAGGTCATGAACCTGCTTCTCCACGAAGTCTTCAGCGCTCAAGGTATATTGAAATACTTACTGAAATACAGCCGTCCTCTGGTTTTGCTCTGGACCCAACATATGTTGTATATGTTGCAATTTATGGATTCTCTCTTTTCTGTTTATTGAATGTGTGATTTAAGTCTGCTGCTACCAAAAGGATGCAGGTAATTGTCTTTGTTACAGAGCTAGTTATGGAAGATTCTCCATTTTAGGACCACCACTAGAGTTCCATTCACAGAAGCAAAATAGAATTAGTATTTACCTTGTCACTCTGGAGTCAGTTTTACAAGTGTTTCCTTGTATTGTGTTTTCTGAGTTTGGAGTTTGTTTCTTTCTCTACAGTTACGGGATTAAATGCTTGTACTCTGATTTGCATAGTGTTAGATATTTGTTGTGTCTTGCTGTAGTGTAATTTGATTTTGAAGTTAGTAAGAACTGTTGTTTGTGGGTGATGTTGCTGCTTTAATGAAACTTTATTTTTAAATGTTTTTCACAAATGCTTTTCCTTGGCCAGATTTTTTCAGCAACCTTGCACCTTATTCACATGTTGCATGTAGCTTATTCACATAGGAGCATGTAGCCATGGATTTACAAAGTGGGGCTAGAATCTGTATCTTCTCTGAAATTTTCCATTTAGGAAGATAGACTTTTCATTGTTTAGGATACTGTGCACTTTATCATATTGTTTCCAATGCTGTAAGTTTCTTCTGTGATAGAGTCATGATCTAGGACTGTGGCAGGAGGAGCTTGCAGGCTGCCATTTTTAGAAAAGTGCATCATCAGAATAGATTCCAGTAAATGTAGAAAGTTTTGCACTTCCAAAAAGCTAGATTTTTAGAGTGGTTGAATAAGATATGTGGTATGATATTAACAAACAAACAAAACAACACTCTGTGTCAGCATACTTAAAGCTACATGGTGGTGCTTTCCAGATCATAAAATAGTGAGGTCCTTTTATCTGCCCTTCTGAGACTAGTAATGAAGAGGACCTTCAGTTATGTGTCATCATGCACTAACTTACTGTTAGATTTTAAAATCCATTGCTTTTTGTTGTTTTTTGGGGAGAGGGGAGTTTGTTTATATTTGGGGTTTTTTGGGGGTGAGTTTTTTGTCTTATTGCTTGGTGGTCCTGTCCCAGAGACTGTCTTTACTGGAGACACTGTAGTACTGGTTGGTTTTAGGATACAAACAGAAGCAAGTCAGAAGTTTTTGACTCTTCATTGTTGACTGCTTTACAGAAGCTTGATTGCAATTTTTGGTAGGTATGTAACCTACAATCCATTTTCATCTGTGGGTAGAATAATAGCACAGTGTACTAGCTCCAGTTCTAGTGATTATGGATGGTGCTGTTAAAATCTTTGTGACTTAAAATACAAAAACTAAAATTAAACTTGGCCTCCAGCTAAACATTTTTAATAAAGAGATGACCTTTTTATAAGGAAAGGTGAGATTTTGGTATAGCTATCAGTCACAGACCCTTTTG